GTCAATCCGTACACATCGACGTTGCGGACATCCACCGAAATGCACCAGGAGGTCGGCACAAACAAGTGCGTGGTCAGAGTTCACGCTCGTGCTCCAAATCGAGCGACAGTTTTGGACACAGCCTCTCCAGCGGTAACTGATCGCGATATGATCGATTTGCGTCCATGGTTGGCCCGAGGCTGGTGGCCGCCAAGTCACACTTCTGCGGGTGCTGTGTCGAAAGTTACTGCTCGCGAGAAAGAGGCGAGCATCTTCACACAGCTGTAGCAATCGCTCACCATTATCATTACGGGAGCCTACACCATGTTGGTCGCCCAGATGAAGCTCATCACTGGACAATTTTCCGACTTGGGCGTTTAGATCGCCAGCCAACACCACAGTATCCGTGCTTCTTCTGTAACGAAGGAGCTCGTGAAGTTGCTGATAGAAATCATCTTTTACCGAATCAGTGCTACAGTTTGTAGGGGCGTATGCCGCGATGACAAACAGGCATCGTTTGTCCCCGCGCGACTTCGTAGCACGGAATGAACCAGCTAATCTAACGGTGCACATCCTACTGTTTACTGGGATCCAATCAATCAGGACAGCTTCAGCCCGGGGACTCAAAACTATGCCAACGCCAGCTTGACGAGCATTTGAAGCTGCATCATCGCCAGACAGGCGCAGTGAGAATGTGCCGCCAGTGTCGCATGTGGGGGATCTCAGGGTAAGCACGCAGTTCGAACCTTGCAGGCGGGTTTCTGATAAACAGCAAACATCGATCGATAGGGTCTCTAATGTGCGGGCAAGTGCTGCCTGTTGGCCAATCTGCAGCAAAGTGCGCACGTTGAGGCATGCCAGTCTTAGCGAGACACGAGGACTCCAAAGGGAAACGGATGAACTGACATTGTCCGTTTGGTTGAACATGGACTTGTCGACTGGATTGGAGCGAGGCCCTGCGATTGTGTGTGATTTGAAATTAGAAGACAAGCGACTATTGAAGTAAGCTGGGGGAGAGCCAAGAATTGGGGGATTGAAAATGGGGGGATATAAGTAAAGTTGGAGCATGACGATAAGGATGAAGAAGCGCAAGAAGGGGTATAAGAAGACGGGAAGGCCTGAGCAGTAGCATCCATACCCCTATCCACTCTACTCGATGCAGCAGATAGGTCGCCGTTTATTATCCTCTGCGACGGCCAGAGCATCAAGAAATTGTTGTAGGAAAGGTTCATTGTATTGCGTGGGCAGAATACTGTCAGGTTGCCCAGGCCTAGACAGAAGAACGATTAGGGTTCTCAACCAAAGCCTTTGGTTCAATAACTTTACCGCAAGGCAGCGGGTTTTGGCACTGGACTACGGAGCCCGTTTTAAGGAATAAGGTGCCACCCTCATTCCAACCCCCAACCTGGAGGACCAGGAGGCTGAGTTTGTCTGGCCTCTAACCATTGACCAATCTGGTATGAGTGGCTCTGAAGGTGCAAAAGAGCACCACCCAGCATAGCTCAATCGGTGTCTGAGGCACGCAAACCATCGCACCACGGTAAGGTCCAGCCTCATGGTACTCATGTATTTTATTTTTCAGACCTTGCAGAAACGAACTTCAGGAAGCTTTTACCATTTGCGAGAGTAGTTCTGTGAGTGAGCGATGTATCGACGCGTTTGTCCGTTCTGTTGACCTGCCACGTGACAAGTGTATTTGAGAGAAACTCAGTGATGTGTTACGCCAGCATTCGGACGCATTCGCTTAGTCAGCCGGGGATCTAGGGCCAACCAACCTATTAAAACACCGCAGCGGGATGGGGAATGCGACACTGACTAGAACCCCCGCACAACGGATCCCAATATGTTGCCAGTGTGAGTTGCAGAAGTTTATCGACGAGGTACTAGAATGGGGTGTAGTACGTCCCTCTACCTCTACCTGGGCAGCTCCGATTGTTTTAGTGAAGAAAAAGGACAGCAGTTTTCTTTTGTGCGTTGACTACAGACGACTAAATGGAGTAACCCGGAAACACGCGTTTCCTCTCCTAATAATCGATGACCTCTTCGATGCGCTTGGAGGGTCGACCTAATTCAGTACGTTATATTTGGCTTCCGGCTTTGGCAAGTGGAAGTCGAGGAAAGTGACCAGGTGGAAACAGCGTTTATTCTCCCATCTGGTCTCTACGAGTTTCAGATGACGCCATTCGAGCTGTCAAAGTCCGCAACCTTCCAGCGTCTCATGCGGTAAGTTCTACACGAGTTAATTCCACAGCAATGTCTCGTTTGTCTGGACTTCATCGTGCACGGAAAAACGAAGGATGAACACCTAAACAGTCTAGCAGAGGTACTTACGTGTTTGATAAAGGTAGGCCTCAAGCTTCAGCCGACAAAGTGCCACCTGTTGCTGCTAGAAGTTGCCTATCTTGGGCACATCATTTTTGGGGCGATCATTCGGACAAATCCTCGCAAGATGGAACAGGTGAAAGCCTGGCCAATCTCTACTAACGTCGAGGAGTTACTCAACTTCTTATGTCTGGCTTCGTACTACCGACGTTTCATAAAAGGATTTTCGGAGGTCGCAGCACCCCTAAACGCACTGCTACAGAAAGATTGTATTTTCAAGTGGCGTGTCGAATGTCAACGAGCTTTTGATAGATTACGTAATTCCCTTTACACTACTCCCGTGTTAGTCTTCCCTGATCTGTCAGCACTTGCTGGGGAGTACATTTTGGACATAAACGTTAGCGACCAGACGATTGTGACTGTTTCATCACAAAAACGGATATATGGCATCGGTAGAGTAGTGTCCTACAGTAGTAGGAACCTTACGTCAAGAGAGAGGAGCTGTTGCACCACCATAAATGGTAGCATTAGTATTTTTCACATAGCAACATCGATATTATCTGCTGGGGAGGAAACTCATGGTACGGACAGATCACCAATCCCTTGTGGTTACAGGGATCCAGTGGGGCTCATTGCGCGATGGCAAGAGCAGTTGCAGGAGTATGATTTTGAGTGTCAGTACAGGTCAGGGATACAACACGGGCTAGAAGTTTTGTGGAGCAGTAAAGTGCCAGCTTCGGAATCACGTTTAGTGAGAAGATTATAACAGACGCATTGTTAAGAATTCCACCCCGCCACCATGGAGATCCTCCATCATTCATCAAACAACACATAGCGCTAGTTAACATACAAGGTGCTGAGTACGACCGTTGGCAAGACGCACAGGGTTCAGATCCAGACACCTCAATTGTCTGTGATAAACTACAGTCGGGAGGTGACAGACCATCTCCGAAAGAAATGGAGGGAAGAAACTACGAAGCTCGATGATTGTGTGCCATGTGGGACAAGCTGACCATTGACGACGGTGTGTTAGTGTTTGACTTCGGGCGGATAGTAGTTCCGCCAAAGTTAGGTACTGAAGTGCTGTCAGAACTTTATCGACAACTGGGCACGCTGGAGTAAATAAATTTGAGGTGGCGGTACGCCGACCATTCTGGTGGCCACATCAGCGAAAAGGTGTCCTCAACTTTTGCCAGATATGTGAGTAGTGCGCCAAATCCAAGAATCCGCAAAATACCCACAAGTCCCCACTGCAGTACGTAACGGTAGGGTTTCTGAACGAGATGGTAGGAGCAGACCTCATTGGTCCCCTACAAGAGACACCGCAGAGAAAACGATACATTCTAGTCCTGGTAGACTATTTCACCAAATGATGGGAGGCCGTATCCATCGCGCGAGCTGACATCGTCACAGGGGTAACAGCAATGACGGATCACTGGATTTCCCAATGGGGAGCGCCGGGACAACTGCATACTGCTGGGGGGTCGTATTTTGAAACCTCGCTGGTGCGGGCAATTTGTCGAGTACTCGGTATTGACAAGACACGGACCACGACGTATCATCCCCAAGGTAACGGACAGGTGGAACACACGAATCGATCGTTAAACTCACAACAACACAGAAAGGACGCGAATTTCTAGAAGCATGGTACTCCTCTAATAATTCGATCAACGTGCGCATCGACCTCGACCCCGTGTACCATCAACTCAGAAAGAAAGATCTCCGGCGAATCGCAAGACGGGGTTCAGCCGTGGAAGCGAATGGGCAGAGATCACGTGGCGCCAATCGAAATTGCCATCTTCAAAAGTCACCTGCCCCTGGATGACGGACTGACAATTCAATAAGCAGCATTATACACTGCCTATTACCGCACTGAAGATGCCACCTCGCATGGTGGTGAAACGTATGCGATCTCTTTACCAAACTCGGAAAAGCGATCAACAGGTGAGCAACCAAGCCGGGCTACCGATGTTCCAAATTATTTCGATCGTTAAACTCTCTTCTGAAAGCTTTCGTAGATCCAAGCATGATTGGGATGTTCTGTTGTCTAAGTGCTTGTTGGCCTAGTGAAGTACGTTCCACTCATCTACCGGGTGAATGCCATCTCTCAGGTGGACGGGACGAGAATTTCAGCTACCTACAGACGTCCGACTGTATCGCAGCACGTGTATCCGTCCGTAACCGACTACGTGAGTAGGCTTCTCGATACTATTCGACAGACACATACGCGTTCATTTGGCGAACGCCCAAAGACGGCAAAAGGATTACTACGACAAAAAGGTTTTCGGCATCCCAATGAAGGCAGGCGAACTTATATATTTGCACCAGGCACCAACGGCAGGGATGCCAACGAAGTTACATCACGAATGGACAGTTCCCTACGTTGTGCAACGAATAATCTCTAATCTAACTTGTGTGATTGAGGATCCGACCAACGCCGTCGGACAACCTATGGTCGTACACTTTAATAGGTTTGACCATTCCGATGTGAGACTGGCCACTCAACCGAGGTACTACACGATGAAACGCCGACAGGAGTAGCGTCCGAAATAGAAGTACCGGCTCAAAGGGGCTACGGTGTGATAACGAGGACGTTGCTTACTTAGAGGGGGTGCGGTGTAACGAACTATCGTAACCATTGTGGCGCGCGACCGAATTTGAATCGTTGTTTTCACAGCATTTTTCTCGTTTGCCTTTCAGGGCGCCATTCCTGTACGATTACCGACGACGGACAATATCCCGAAGAAACCGATTAACTGTAAGTCTTTTTCACCTCTTTTTACAGTATTGATTTTTTTATTGTAGAGCGTGTTGTTTATTAGTTCTGTCCAGACCTCGTGTTCTCCCTGACACGTATACTACAGGTGCAGGTCGTTGGCTCCGGTCATGGTCACATGTTGGTCTCCCTCCCTATTAGTCATTCACTTAGATTTTGGTAGTGACGGTTTTCGACTATACGAGATTAAAGGAAATGAAAACATGGAGCTTTTGCAACGGTAATTTGCTATTTCTCTTATTTTTCCCGACAATGAAGATTTGCTCTTGACAGCCTTAAAACTTATTCCATTGCTGAACATGGTCATTGTGTCGCTTTGTTGGATGATGAAAAGTACTTACCTATTTTACGCCATTTTCTACATAGACTTACGTGTCTTAATGTTGGGAACAACGAACTGCTGGAAATTCCGGTTGTTGGTGCTTCAAACCTCATTTTATCTCCTTGTGGTCGCATCGTCTTTACCTATGCGTCGTTTTACAGTATTATCACTTTTTCTCATCTAATGTTTTAGGAGACCGCGAAAAACCACAGCATGATCCGAACGTTCGTATATTTTCTACCGATGATGGACACCTAATTGATAAGTATATTTTCCCACATAGTGATGGCTGGTAAGGATAGTTTATGCTCATCACTTGAATGTTTTCGCCTCATTTAACCAGATACAATGTTATTTATCTGAGATTTTCACGCTGCGTGTATGCGAAAGTCCCTCCTCAAATATTCACAAGCGTTATGGGTTTATTTAGTCTTGACCAACAGTGCATTCTTTACTACTCCAGAACTGTAATCTACCCATCCCCGTTTTTCGTACATGTACATTTCATGTATACCGATCTGAGTCACACGTTTATATCAGCTCAAGCTTTCTTGATAGGCGGATATTTATACTAAGGCTTCATCGTGACGAGATCTAACCTTATCGTGCTTCAGGTCAGTCTCCATAGACGAAACAGACCTTCGCCTAACGAGCGTCCCTTCTCGTGTGCCGGTAAACAAGCCAAGGCCATCGACACCTCGGCATTCACACTTTTTCACTTCTACAGACGCAAACAAAAACTACGAGTAACCCCTCATAAATTCATGGAGCTATTAGGTGTTGCTTACTTTTGTTATTCATTAACCTTTGCCGAGTGACACTTTCCAAATGCCTTCAAAATTACTCATACTAGACAGGTCAATGGTTTGTTGTCAGACCAACATCACAGCATACTTCTCAGAGATTAGTGAGATGTCGACAACCCTCTTATGTCGAACGACAGCCACGGTAAAAAACAAACTACTGGTTATGAGCTCATGGATCAATTGATCTAGAACACGTGAGGTACGCCTTGTCCCTGACAGTGCTCATTGGTTTGCTAACACCCCCACCACTAGGCAGCCCCTGGTCAAATTGGTGCCCTCCCATCAACTCTCACCTTCGGTTAACCTTGGTCGCAGGTGCGTAACACAACGGTCAACAAACACTTTATCCTAGTCTCAATGTGTCTACAATCGCATTCCAGAGTTGGACTTACTCCCCACTCACGTTAGTCAGGTTATTGATTTAATAGCTTTGGGTGGATGCTCTCAAACAAGCACGCGCGTGCCCCACTGTTTTGAGCTTGAATGTTGAGTCAGGCGCTAGAAGTAGGGCACTTCAAACAAGACCGTTCTCAGAATGGATAACCAAAGAGTATCATCAGCCCCCGCGACCCAGACGCCAACACTTTATTTTTCCTTCCTACAACCCTTCTCTTTCACTCCCCTTGGGTAACTGACTGTCGCGTAGGGATAGGCGTCCTCGCGGTATGCCCAGCCCGCGTGATGGTCACATTGCAGCAAAGCGCTTTTACGGCGTACAGCTGACACATCATCAACTGACTGTCACTGACTTTGCAGCTAGTGTTGTCGATGTGTGTAGTTTCCTTCAGACAAATGGTCTCATTTTACTGCTTCGTCCAGAATCAGGTCGGTCCACAAGCGTCTTTCACACTTCACTCTCTTTGTGTTTATGTGCACTGTCTTCGACACAAGTATACAGTGTAGTAGCGTCGCAACAAATCTTCCACTCTATGGTTTTGAATCTGTTTACAGTAGTTGCACTTCTCGCACATCCGGTGATAATGAGTCAATCATTGGCTCAAGTTATTTATAGTTTTGTATTGGTCTCATTAGAAACACTGTAAGTATGCGTTTCGACTTGATACCAATTAACAGGCACATATATATGGTTCGCCCCGAATCTCCATTGGGATAATTAAGCATCCTCTGAAGACAAAGTGCCCTTTCATCGTTTCTATTTATGCCGGTAGCTCAGAGAGTATCGAAGACGTATTCTGCTTTATTTCCATCTCTTATCTGAGTGGCCAAGAATGCTTGTATTCTAATTGTTCCTGGTGACAAAATTACCCTGGTGGTTTGCCTACCCGACTTTAAACAACATTTGGGTGGCTGTTTCTGGATCGATGCACGCTAATTTGATACTGGTGATCCATTCATGCAGTCACGTGTTGGTTACAATCTTTATGCTAGCCGAACCGTTTTCCAACAAAATGCTTCACATCCTGCCACTTGGCGATCATCGAATTCATCAACGACCCGGACCCAAATTGACAACATTGCTCTTAGCTACCGAGGGCACCCATCTGTTTAAGACTGTCAATCAATTTAGAACACATGTCTGGACCATGCTGTAATGTGCATAAACTTGTCGCTCATACTCACATTCCGCAACTCAACAGTACCACTGAGAATTGTCTCACTAGTTGTCGGTGGTAAATTAACTTAGTGGGTCAACTACTGGGGCAAGTTTTCTTAAGTGTGCCATGGAGAATGCTTTTGACATTTCCTTTACTCCTAAATCAAAACGTTTGAAATTCAAGGGAACTTCTCGGGTTTCGGTTAGTTTACTAGAAGCACGCAACTAGATTTTATCGGGTACATTAGCTGAGGTGTGTTTCTCACCCTCAGCTAACGCGTATTGATGCTGATGATGCGTACTCAGTTTCAGCATGCCTATACCACCTTGAAACGATGTCTGGCTAGGAATCTAAGAAATAACCGGGTACGTTAGTGGGAAACGAGGGCACTTGAGCTGAGAAAGCTAATACTGTTGCGAACAGCCGATTACCGTTTCCACTCATCCGAAACATAGGTCCGAGGATGTCTTCGGTTAGCGCAACATAAGTGAGAAAAATGGACAGCTGACGCATTCCAAGCTCCATTGACTAGTCTGTTGGGTTGAGCAGTTCAATAGCCGTGGTGGGACAGCCGCTCGCTTAGCCATTTAAGCCCACGCGAGAATTTGATGCATCCCGCACTTCAGAAGCGATTCGATATGAACACTGTGTTGAGGCGAAATAAAGCTCATAAACAAGGCAACGTCCCTGCGTCTTTGTTGGAGGATAGTTATTCTTTGTTAACTGGACTTTTCGTTTATCAACATTATTTGAAACACTAGGATGACGCCCACCTATTTGGCAACTATCAGCTGATGTCCTCATCTTCGAGGTATAAGCCTTGTTTTCCTTTTCTCCTTTTTACGCGTTATTCTGTAACGACTTACTGGCCCTCGTTAGAGCGGAATCATTAAGAACTAGGTTTGTTTCCGCACTGGTCGGGGCTGTATTGACCACACATGTACTCTTCGTCAACTGTTAGAGCGGCAACCTGCTAAGTACAGACTATCTTGGTTTTCTTTACTCTAAAAGGCGTCTTCAACTCTGTTGACCGTGCCAACATGCTATTTTCTATCCTTGAAGGCTACGCGAAGGAAACTTCTTCTCACTCTGGAGTCTTCCGCGACTTCTGAGGCCACCCATGGGTCTGCGTTAATCCGTCGGGTGAGTTCCCCACGACATGGGATTGATCAGGGCTCTCCTATCTCTTTTTCTCTTTAACTTTATGATCGTGATGATCATAAGTTACTCTCTCTACAGCCTCCTCTGGGATGGAAAGTTTTTCAGACGGCCACTCAACCAATCTTTGTTATGCGGACAACATTGCTTTCCTTGGGTCAGGCGCAATGGCTATGCAGGCACTACAGAATAGACTGACGCCTAGAGCTGCACGCCACCGGTACTATCTATCAGTCGTTGTAATTAATGGATCGATTCACTTTGTTTGTTAGTTATGCCATTTCTGGTGATCACATCACTGAAGATGTTACTTCGAGTATCAATAAAACCCGTGTGGGCTTTCAGAGACTCGACTGTCTAATTAGGCTGTTGGATCCCATCCTGCCATGGAAAAATAGGGTATATAATCCAGCGATAAGACTATTGTTATTGTAGGGATCAGAGAACTGTCTAGTTCGCAGTGAAGATATTAAAAGATTGGTCACCTTTGCTCCTCGGTGTTAGCAGAGTATTGCTCGAATCTGGTGGGAACACCGGATGAGCAACGCTGAGGACTGCCAGTTGGAAGCTGGAGGTAAGCAGTTGGCGCATCACTGGGATACCGGTTGGCTTTGTATTTCTTACGTTGATTGCGTCAAGTCCTCCGTTTACCTGTAGATCACTTTCCACAGACGACATTGCTCTCCTTGGGTCTGACGCAATGGTTATGCAAGCATTCCTGGATAGGCTGGTGTTTGATGCTGCACGGTTTCAGCAAGTGCTTATCACCTTCAAAGTACAAAGTACTGTAGCCTACGGGTCATACCAATCACCGATTCTTCCTGTCAGCAAACAGTCACTGGGAGTGGTGGATCGATTCACTCAGCAGTTGTGTCATATCTGGTGGTCACATCGTTGCCAAAGTTGCGTCGTTTATCATTAAACCCCCAGTGTTATTTTTGCAAGGGCTGTACCATCTATGGTGAGGGCGGTGTCAGTGTAAGGTAGAGTGTAATGCGCTGCGATATGACCTGTGTTACTGCATAGATCAGAGAGCTGGCCAGTTCGGAGTAAAGACCAACGCTTGGTCATGTTTGATCACCGGTGCTTGCGGAATACTGCTCACCTCTTGTGGGAACACTGGGTGATCAATGCTGAGATTCGCTAGTTAGTATTTGGCAAGTAATCCTCTGGTGCTTCACTGGAGTCTTTGCTAAAGCTTAACGGCTAACATTCCCTAGGCCACGTCCTCCGCATGCCTGTTGACCGTATTCTTCGGAGTGCGCTATATGCTGGTGTTGCACTTAGTTGATCGAAACCGCGAGGTGATGTGTCGATGATGTGACATAACGGCAGGAAGAAATTGACCTAAAGGCAGTCAGTCTAGCGCATACCGTCTTTGTGGATGGAGGCTTCGGATTGGGATATATCAGCATTTGCTTGCCCGCCTAACAACTTCGTGGCGCCAGCTGGACGGTTCGGGTTTATCTTGTTTCATCAACATGTTCGGCGGAAATGTTATAGGATGTGGTTGGTGGGTTTTCGCCTGGCAGACATTCTCCCAAAAAATACGTACATTTAACAACACTGACGTGGTGGATTTACCTGCCTACTGAATAAAGTCATTACCCCTTGCTTCACTTCGGTGGAACATTGTATTCCAACAACCTTGAGATGAAATTATGGGGATGATTAGCTCATGTTTGGTACGCGGCCTAACTAAAGACGTATGAACTGAGTACTCAGTCACCGGCTTTCAATGGATACAATTCCCTGAATTCGCCTTGTGGGTA